CGTGTAAATTAAGGTATTCTAGACAAGTCACCGTGTAAATTAAGGTATTCTAGACAAGTCACCGTGTAAATTAAGGTATTCTAGACAAGTCACCGTGTAAATTAAGGTATTGTAGACAAGTCACCGTGTAAATTAAGGTATTCTATACAAGTCACCGTGTAAATTAAGGTATTCTAGACATCTAACCGTTGGATATTCTAGTTATAATGGCTGAGATTATTATAGTAACTTATCAAGGATTAACTAAATACAGTATTCTAGACAAGTCGCCGTGTAAATTAAGGTATTCTATACAGGTGACCGTCTAAATTAGGATATTATAAACAGGTGATTGTGTAAATTAAGGTATTCTGGGCAAGTCACCGTGTAAATTAAGGTATTCTAGACAAGTCACCGTGTAAATTAAGGTATTCTAGGCAAGTCACCGTGTAAATTAAGGTATTCTAGACAGGTGACCGTGTAAATTAAGGTATTCTAGACAAGTCACCGTGTAAATTAAGGTATTCTAGACATCTAACCGTTGGATATTCTAGTTATAATGGCTGAGATTATTATAGTAACTTATCAAGGATTAACTAAATACAGTATTCTGGGGAAAGGTTACAGTGTGCTACAATCAATATATAAATATAATGAAGGAATACCTTAACTTGTACTTTTTAAGTTTACACGATGGGTTTTGAAACTTTTCATCATAATAGTTATTTTATGATGTTGTGTGGCTAAAAATAATTCTCAAATGTGAAATTAAATAAAGACGATAATATCGTGAAAGTGACGAGTGTGACCCAGTAGTTAATGTACTGTAAAAACAAATCGCGATTCACACTTTAAGGCCTTGTGTGCATTTTAAGGGTAATGGTGAATTCCAATTATTCGGTCAGACAAGAGTAGTCTAAGAATTGGCGGTGGGTGTTTTTGACTAGCTCAGAATTAAGTCTGGGAGCTTATAACGCAGAAAGTGGGGTTTTGATACTAACGGTTTGTTCTTTTTTTTTTTATCAAAACCACACTAGGCTATCTGCTATGTTCACCGAGGGGGGGAGGAAATCGAATGAATCGAACCTCGGATTTTAGCGTTGTAATTCCGTGGGCTGTCCCACCGGGGGACGATACCATTCTGTATTTTTGCACTTAACAACAAACAAACAAGTAATCAGTTTCAAACTAGGTACGGCTGGGTGGCGCAGATAGCCTCTGATTAGCTTTGCGCGAATATCCGGAAACAAATAAATATCTCGAAAAAGAGGTTAGTATTTATGAAACCAACTCTTTTTTTTTTTGCGCATGTGATGAGAACTATCGAAACAAAGTTCAGTCACGATCTTAATCAACTTTCTGTTAAAACAGGAGATATTTCTGAAGAAATGTTGGGTGAATTTACTTTGTACAATTCTGGTGAATGATTTTACAAATAAAGTTTAAACATAAGAAATTCAAATATAAATTTCAGAAATACAACATTTAGATTTACAGCAATTACTTTCAAAGCGTTCTTTGAAGTTTTCATCGCTGAAATATTGAAAGATAAGTTGTGTTGAAATTGCTGAAATGGTTTGCTTTTTAGAGCAAACTCACTTTGGGCTATTTGTTGTGTCCACCGTGGGGAATCAATCCCCAGGTGGTTAGGGCGCTCGACTCGCAATCTGAGGATCGCGGGTTCGGATTCCTTGTCCCACCAAACATGCTCGCCCTTTCAGCAGTGGGGGCGTTATAATGTGACGGTCAATCCCACTATTCGTTGGTAAAAGAGTAGCCCAAGAGTTGGCGGTGGGTGATGATGATGACTAGCTACCTTTCCTCTAGTCTTACA